AAATAATAAACAGGAGATTTTCTCCTAAAATGATCAAAAGATTCATGTATTAGCAGCCACAATTTATCTCCAAAAGTGAGGATTAAAATTAGAACAATCTTCTAAAAGAAGACCACCAAATATATATATATATAAATTAGCAAGACAATTTCTGTTAACCAACTGGACGTGAAGCTCGTCTCAATCATTCTGGCTATTTTTTTAAAGACAAGTGACAAACTTGTATACAATTTTGTGGTATTTCATTTGCATTTTTCTTTCTCCTTCTTCCAAATGTGTGATTTTAGTATTTTATACTGTCATAAATTTAAAAGAAAACATAAGTAACTTTTATTACATATAAACTCTTCAGCATAATAATCTTGGGGAAATACTTTCATATAATATTCGACATTAAGTTGAACAACAACAGCTCTCTCTGACTTATGAAAACAGTGTCAGTGGAGCACAGGCTGAATTACAAAGGACAAAATCTCCCAGAAGCTATGGAGGATTAAAAAATACCTCGGTTTGTGGCATTCTATTTGGTATCTTATTACTTTGAATTGCCTAAGGTTTCTTTTGAAAAAAAAACACAAAACTATTTGCAGCCCTTCATTTCATGACAACCAATAACTGTAGGAGTTGCTGTATTAAGTGGTCAATAGCAGCCACATTTAAAGGTAGAAAAATAATGTTGTATGTGTGTTTATATTATATGTTGTGACAATTTGTTTCAACAAAAAGTCCCTTTGTACTTATATCTTATAAATGGGGTATTTGCTTCACAATCAAAAGTATTCTCTCAATTCATACTTAAGGAAACAAAGGTGTCCAGCTATAAACACTCACAGCTTTAAAACAGATGTTTTTCAAAGTTCACTTATAGTTTGCTTAGTTGCTATCAGGAATATATTTTCACATGTATTCAATGTTAGAAATCATGATTTGGTTCCAAGTAGAGTCTGAAACACAACTAAAGATGTCAAATTATAACTTGAACCGTATTTTTAATAGTAAAATATTTTGGAATTATAACTTAGGATTCCAGAATCCATTTATCTCTTCCCTTTCCCCCTCCCTTGCCATATGTTACAAAAAGTAGTATAGCATCCGTGAAAGAATAAGGGTTTTTGAATCAAAAACATCTAGATTTGAGCTGGGGTTTACTTTGGGTAAGTTCCTTGCCATCCCTGAGCTCTACCCACCTTGTCTGTAAAACAGAGATAATGATGGTGTGCCATTGTTAAAAGGCAGTTCTCCATACTTTCTTCCCACATTTGTGCATGGTGTAGACTTTCTAAACAAAACTCACTGGAAAACTTGTTAAAGGATGATTAATAGCAAACATGCTTTGAAAGTTTGGGGTGGTGTACAGTCATGCACACATAACAATGTTTCAGTCCACAATGAACTGCGTATACGACAGTGGTCCCATAAGACTATAATGGAACTGAAAAATTCCTGTCACCTGGTGACGTCATAGCTCTTGGAACGTCACACATTACTCACGAGTTTGTGGTGATACTGGTGTAAACAAACCTATTGTGCTGCCAGTCATATAAAAATGTAGCACATACAATGATGTACAGTACATAATACTTGATATGAAAATAAACTACTATGTTACTGGTCTCTGTATATACTATACTATACTTTTTATCATTATTTTAGTGTGTACCCTTTCTACTTATAAAAAGAAAAGTTTACTGTAAAACAGTGTGCTGTGTTACACTGGCAGCAGCCTCATATATCTTGTGTTTGCCGTGTCTCTTGATCGTATCATTTTCTCTTGTGCTTGATTTAGTCTCATGTTGTTTTGTTCATTGTGACCCTCAAGCATACAAAATCCATTGCTATTGTTGACATTAAGAGGCCATGTTGAGTGATTGACTTAGAAATGAAATTAAAAGTGATGAAGGACTACGTAGGTGGAAAATCAGTGATGGTTATTGCTTGCTGGTCAGGCACCTCCCATATCCACCATAGCTACAATCTTGAAAAACAAGAACAAAGTGATGGAAGTTAATAAAGAATCTGCTTCATTGAAGGCAATGAGGTTAACAAAAATTCAAGAAGGGCCTATATCAGACATAGGGAAATTTCTGATAATTTGGATTGAAGACCAGACACAGAAGAGTATCGCTTTCAGCACCATGATGATCACAATCAAAGCAAAAAATTTGTGATGTTGAAAGGGAAGGTTGGAACTGACTGCTGTTGAATTTACTGCTAGCTCTGAGTGATTTAAATGATTCAAGAATTGTTTTTCATTACATAATGTGAAAGTGAGTGATGAGTCTGCAAGTGCTGATGTGAAGGCACCTGAAGAATTTTTGGAAACTCTAGATAAGCTGACTGTGGAGGAAAATTACTTACCAGAGCAAATATTCAATATGGATGAAACATCCTTTTCTGGAAACAGATCCCTGAAAGGACTTTCATTCATAAGAAGACCAAGTCAATGCTAGATTTCAAGGCTTTTAAAAACAAGATAACAGTCTTGTTTAGGGGAAATATTGCAGACTTCAAATTGAAACCCTTTGTGATCTGGCACAGTGAGAACTCTCTTCAAGCATATCAATAAGCCTATACTACAGAAATAATAAGAAGTCATGAATGGCCCACCTCCTCTTCCAAGATGCCCTCCTGAATTGCTATGCTGGTAAAATGGAAAAAAGTACATACCTTTCAAGATTTTGCTTATTGTTGATAATGGTCCCAGACATCCTTCTTTTATTGATGATCTTCATCCCAGTATAAAAGCAGTGTTTCTCCCTCCAAACACCACCTCTTTGATACAACCAATAGATCAAGGAGTTATAGTAGCTTTTAAGGCCTATTACCCAAGGAAGATCTTTGCTTAGGCTATTGCTGCAGCTGAGGGGAAGGCACTGATGTAATTCTGGAAAGATTACAATAGCTATGAGACTGCATCAAGAACCTTGGTTGGGCTTGGGGTGATGTCACCAAGGAGAGTTTGAATGGCATATGAAAGAAGACACTCAAAAGATTCGTCTGTGACTTCAAAGGATTTGCCAAGGATGAGGATTTGCAAAAATCAAGAAGACTGTGGTTGAGATGGCAAACAACTTTAACCTCAGTATGAATGAGGATGTCGTTGAGGAGCTCCTAGAGGTAGTTCATGAGGAATTGACTAATGAGGTATTGTTGGAACTGGAGCAGGAATACATAGCTGAAGAATAGGCAAGAGAAAAGGAAACTGCGTGAGAAGAAAAACAAGGACCCTTGAGAAAATTCACAGTGAAGGGTTAAGCAGAAGCTTTTGCAGACCTAAACAAGCTCCTTAAAAAGTTTGAAAACATGGACCCCAACACTAAAAGATTTTTGTTAATAAAGAGAGATGTTTGTGGTGCATTATCTGCTTACAAGTAAATCTATGATAAAAAATAGAAACAAACCAAGCAAACCACCATGGATATATTTCTGAAAAAAGTGCCACCTCCTCAGGCAGGTCCTTCTGGAGTTATTCCAGAAGAAGGCATTATTATCATAGAAGATGACAGCTCCATGAGTGTTACTGTCCTTGATGATTTTCCAGTAGGACAACATGTGGAGGTACAAGACAACGATATTGATAATTCTGACCCTGGGTAGGCCTAAGCTAATGTGTGTATTTATGTCTCAGTTTTTAACAAAAGTTTAAAAAGTAAAAGTAAAATAAAAAATTTAGTAATTTAGTAAAAAAAATTAAAAATCCTTATAGAATAAGAATATAAAGAAAGAAAATATTTTTGTATATCTATACAATGTGTTCGTGTTTTAAGCTCAGTGTTATTACAAGAGTCAAAAAGTTAAAAAAATTAAAAGTTTGTAAAGTAAAAAGGTCATAGTAAGCTAAGATTAATTTATTATTGAAGAAAAAACTTTTTAATAAATTTAGTGTAGCCTAAGTGTATGATGTTTATAAAGTTTACAGTAGTATATAGTAATGTCCTAGGCCTTCACATTCACTCTCCACTCAGTCACTGACTCACCCAGAGCAACTTCCAGTCCTTCAAGCCCCATACATGGTAAGTACTCTATACAGGTGTACCATTTTTATCTTTTATACCATATTTTTAGTGTACCTTTTCTGTGTTTAGATATGTTTAGATACACAAATATTTACTGTTGTGTTATAATTGCCTACAGTATTCAGTAGAGTAACATGTTGTACAGGTTTGTAGCCTAGGAGCAATAGGCTATGCCATATAGCCGAGATGTGCAGTAGGCTATACCATCTAGGTTTGTGTAAGTACACTACTGTGTTTGCACAAGGATGAAATTGCCCAATGACACATTTCTCAGAATGTATCCCTGTCGTTAAGTGACACATGACTGCATTGTTTCAAAGATATTTAGAGACTTATCCCCCCAGGGGCTACTTGTTTTGGTTCCAATTTGGGGAGGCTGGAGACTTTGCTCTTCCTTCCCAGGAAAAGATTTGTTTGCATCCCAGCTTGAACACCTCTTTCTCTCTCTTCAAGGAAAGGAGGAACAGATGTGTCAACTGCCCTATAAAATTTCTGAATCGTGTAAATTCAGGGGTCTTCCTCTGTGGTGCAGCCCCACTGAAGGCAAAGGGTAACATCAGGCTCTCACTATGTTACCCAGTGGATATTGGAGTTTGGGGAACTAGCACTAAGATGCTCTGTGTGTAATAATGGTGTGATCTCTGATCCAGAGACTGTATGTTTTCTATTAGAACATGAATATAAATATTTTATAAATATAAAACAACACTTCACCATTTCCTAGCTAAGAGAATCTGGAATTTGTTCAGTAGCAATGTGCACCGCCCCAGAGGATGATACATGTTTCTATTGCCAACATGGGCTGAGATAGACCAGTTCCCTTTTCCTCTGGTTAATTTAGAGATAGGGTAAATGTGGCAAAAGAGATTAAAAGGAGAAATCAGCCAGCTTGGTGGTAGTTCTGTGAAAGATTTGCCTCCTAAGTGAGAAAGAGTACCATATGAGGAGAATCCCTTTTCCCTCCTAATTACTTGCATTTTGGAGCTTGTCATATGAGGATGTGATGCATGGAGATGCAGCAGACATATTGTGACCATTAGAGGCAAGTCCGAAGAAGGAAACCAACATACTGAGGATGGAAGAGCAAAAGAATCTCAAATGAATGAGCAAAAGAGCGTAAGAATGTTCTGGATGACGTCTTTAAGCTGCCGAATCAACCCCGAACTCATTCCTCTGGATTTTTTGTTAAATAAAAATAACTACTCTGTACAACTAAAACAAGCTCTTATTAAATTTTTGTTTATTTGGAACTAAAAGCATTCTAAGTAATTCAAGAATCTACTTTAAGGAATTGTTAAGATTAAATGAAATGAGAGATAAAATAACTAGAATAGAACTTAGTTGATACTCAACTAAAAAAAAAAAAATGCTTTTGTTGCTGCTAATGGGGCCTATACTAGATCCAAGCACCTGCTGGTCTATTGTATGTGTCTATATCATAGGTCAGAGACTCCAGCTTGGGAGGGTTTGGGAATGAGGGGCTGTTGAAGCAAAAGGACAGAAATTGTGGGACTATTGGTCAATGACAGGAACATTAGGGTAAAATGCAAAATGTGTAAAAATTTAAGTAGAGCAATTGTTCTCAAACAGGAACTATTTATACTCTTAACAATTATTTAGAACTCTGAAAAGCTTTATGTAAGTTGCCTATATCAATATTTACTGTATTAGAATTTTAAACTGAGAAAGATTTATTGATTACTTCATTTTAATTTTACTACACTTTATTTAAAAACATTTTATATAACATTGGGCTTTTGTACAGATAAAAAAATTATGAGAAAAATGTCATTATTTAAATATTTTTTGAATCACTTTAATGTCTACCTTCTCATAAGGGTTTCTGCATTCAAACTGTTCTGTTGTGTTTGAAGTATAAGGAAGAAGTTTTGGTTTTACACAGATATGCACTTAGAAAAGGGAGGAGTATTGTAATAATCTTTAAGTTAATTGTGGTTATTTTTTTTGGAACTACACCAAAACTTGTCAATTTATGATTACTTAAAAGTTGATTATAATGTAGAATCTTGATCCATAGCTACAAATATTTCATAGCAACAAATATGAAATACATTGATGTGTCTTGCACCTTAATTACCCTTTACCCATGCATAACTTTGTAACATTATCCATTGCCTATTTGGAAAAATATTGGTTAACAGAGTTATGTGTATCTTCCAAAAGCTGACAAATTTATTTTCACATCTGTTAACATCATTGGTGTCCTCATCAGAATATTATTTAAGTACTGGGAAACTGTCAAGTACATGATAGCAGACCCACATTCTCCAAAATTCTAATTTTTCATTGAAAGCTTGAAATTTATCATTGCAACAAATATTATCAGTTGTTTTCCTTGAAATGACAGGTTCACATCATTAATTTTAAAAAAAATTTCTGTCAAAACTTGTTTGAATAATTGTAGTATGTCTGTCAATTGTGTTTTCAAGTAAAATGTTCTGCTAAAAAGGCAGCTAGGTTAGCTACATCTAAAACAATTGTGCATGTGCTTTTACTCGAGATGGCCATCATATTTCAGAATGTAGCAAGTGTTTCTCTATATCTCTCATTTTGTCACATAGACTGTTAAAGAGGAATGTATGGAAAGGTCGAGTTTAATTAAATTTTACTGCTTCATCAACAACACTGTTATGTGAAATACAATGTTTTTCCTTTCTAAAAAATTATGAGTGCATGGCAATGAAGAATACAATGACTACTAGATTACTGATATAATAATTTGGTGCTGCCACCTTAATTCATGTTAAGATGACAGCAGTTTTACCATCATTGTTTTTGCACCATCAATGTACATGTCAACTCAGTGAAAAAGACAAATTATGTCAGTATTATTATCAACTAGTTTTGACCTCATTGACCCTAAAAGGGCCTTATGGGCTGTTTTTGGTTCCACAGACGATACTTTGAGAACAACTGAGTTAGGAAACAAGGGGGTAGGAGGGAACTGTACCAGTGTATTTCAAATCTCCCTAATATCCTGACATATGCTGATAGAATGAAGACCTCAAACCCATCAAAAAAGAGGGCCATTTATTTGGGTTCATCAACCATCTATCCCAATAATCCCCAGTACTTGTTCCCAGTGGTAGACATTGTTGTGATCTAGGCTTCTTCAGTTTGGATGGATGTTGTTGGAATGAATGTGATAGTCCTAAATCTTTAACCACTGATTCACAATATCTAGGTCTTCTGCTGTAGTTGGAGGGGGAGAATTCAAGTAGTTTTTGGATTTTATCAAGTAATCCTGAGTGTCTACTGCAGCAAACTCAGGTTGCTATTAGAGCTTCATCTTTTCCTTGTGTTATCATTCCTTTTCTGTCATCAGATGCAGGAGTTTGCTACATATTTTTCCTTTTTCCCTGAAGACTGCTACCTTAGAAGCAGTCAGGCTTATTTTTGCGTTATTTACTTATAACATCTGCTTTATAGAGACAGGGAATAATTCTTGTTGACTCAACTATTTTATCTTGCTTAGTGAGATAAAGTTCAGTAACACCCAAAGCTTTTGTGGTCAGCAGTTACTGACTGGTACAAAGTTACGACTTTTATGTACTTATTGAAGTGCTTTCAGTTCATGAATCACTGACATTTGTTTTTCTTATCCCAAGTTGAGAAAATCACACATAAACCTGTAAGAACTCTGCTTGGTATGGCAAGTAAAGTTAAGATTTAATTTCTAGAGACTAGAGAATGCCTCTTTATTCCAAAGCTTGATGCTCTTTACTGATATGTTCCAACCTCTGTAGACACCTAATACTAATGAAGTATTAATTTTTATACTGGTTTCAGTCTTTATTTCATTTTTTATATTTAAATCTATTTCATTTCCTCTCATCTACTATTATTTATTGCTCTCATTGCACTTTATTGATCCCTATAAACCATTGTAAATTATTTTGGAAACATGGTATTATATAAGTAAATAAATAAATAAGTAAATAAATAGAGATCTAACAATAGCTTCTCATATACTAGTCTGTTCAAATTCTCATTTTATCCCAGTTTTTTTCCTCTGATGGCAATTTTAATGGCATAAAGAATCTAATGTTATGTCTCTGATACTTATGTGTGAAAATTCATGCACAAAACCATGATTCTCATGGCTATGTGACCACTGAAATTGAAACAGGAAATGGCATTTTGGGGATAATTGATTGGACGGACAATGAAAATATGAGACATTACTACAAGGAATCCTCAGGAAAATTAGCCTATGGGACAAAGATCAGAATTGGGGCTGTTGAGGTGGCTAGAATTTTCTGAGCAGGGAACCAGAGAAAATAGATCTACATAGAGAAGGAGGTTCAGAAATCTGTGTATGACTCACCTTGGGTCTTCGGCTGAATACCAAGCTGAACATGTGCAAATTGACTCTGAGAGGCCACATAACGAATGACTACATAAAGACACACAACTACTAGGGCACCAAGAGCTGAACAGCTGCTACAACTTACACAGAACAAATGTTCTAATTCCAATTAGCCAGTGTGGGGAGACTTCATTTAATATGATAGGTAGCAAAGAGGCCACACTTTAGTGGTGGACTATTGTAGCCCTCAAACAAAGGGTGCTGTCTAACTAAAAAAGATTTTATTTTTTAAAAGGCTTTGAAAAATAAGGGATATGGGGGTTGGCCTGGTGGTGCAGCCGTTAAGTTTGCACATTCAGCTTTTGTGGCCCGGGGTTCACTGGTTTGGATCCTTGGTGTGGAGCTACACACCGCGTGTCAATCTATGCTATGATAGGCATCCCACATGTAAAGTAGATGAAGAAGGGCACGGATGTTAGCTCAAGGCCAGTCTTCCTCAGCAAAAGGGGAGTGTTGGTGGCAGATGTTAGCTCAGGGCTAATCTTCCTCAAAAAAAAAAAAAAAAGGTAAAGGATACATGTAAATTAACTGTCAGATGGAATAAAATAAATACTTCTTTAAGGAAAGTGGTAACATCTAAATAATCGATAATGTAATATTCATAATGTCCAGTATACAGTCAAAAATAGACATAAAAAAACAGTTAATGAGACCCACAACCTGGAGAAATATTAATCAATAATGAAAATGACAAAGGTGTCAGAATTAGCAGATTATAACAGCTATTAAAAATTAGTTCAAGTTTTAAAAGCAGCTTTAAAGGGAAATTTTGACTTTAAAATTTAACCTCCTATATAAGATGCAACTTTTCCAAACCATGCATCAAGTACATAGTAAATAAAAACAAATGACACATGCACACAAACATATAAAAATATATACTTTTGGCTGAGAGAGGACCATGAGAACATTCTGGGTAGGAGAAACATCAGAGTAGCAGAGAGAGAGGAAATTGGTCTGTTGTATAAGACAGATTGTATAGGAGTGGAGTGTATTTGAAACATAAAAGATGAGGTTAGAAGTTATTAAGGAGCCAGTTGATAAAGATTTTGAAACCAGATTGATGGGTTTGAATTTGCTCCAACCTTAGTAGGAATTTGGAAATATCTTGATTTATCCAATTTTTATATGTGATAAGTCTGGAAAATGTTGTACTGTATAGATAAGAACCTGTTACTATTGCAGCCCATTAGGAAAGCGTTCTTACTGTGTGTGCACGTAGACCCATGTGCGCCCATGTATTTAAACTGAAAGAGCTACACAATCAAAGAAATCTCTCATACGATGCCCTCTGAGCACAACACAGAGAAGAAAGGACTATTTTCTCAGATATTTCTTATGATTACTGCATCTAGGCAAATTAGTGGAATGACTTCCAGTCAAAGCTTAGAATCATTTATGTAAGAGAATAATGACTATCAACAATAAATGAATACAAGTCTTGCCATAGAAATAGTGTCACATTGATATTTTGCTGTTATTATAATTTGGGGGTACTGCTTGTCTTTCAGATTCATTGTAGGGAGTGCTAGCAGTTTTAACATTGATAGTGATTCAACTTTGAAGCCCACATATTTTTATTATACTTTTTGTAAGCATTTATTTCAGGTTAATGAAAAAATACCTTGAGATTTTAAGTCAGCAGTTGTAGCTACTTATCTGTTTGAATTAGAATTGTACCCATATTATGCAATCAAAACAAACAAACAGAAAGACATTAGATGTTAGGCTAATATACAATAGCAACTATAATTTAATAATCCTTAGTTTCAACTCCTCAAATTGAAACACTTTCAATTTTCTCATTGATTGAAATGATAATAAATAAATATTATATTAAAAATAAATTTGTGCTAATTACCATGTTTATATTTTTACTTATTGAGATTCTATGTAAAGTTTCATTTGGAAAAAAGTGCTCATTTGCCAACAACATTTAAAACACTATTCTGAGTTATTGATTGAAAGGGAACCTGAGAAAGAGGTGGCACTGACAGGGAGTTAGGAATTCTGTGAAGATAGATCTAATTTTAGACATTTAGAGTTTGATGCAGTCACATTAACCTACATTATATGCATTTATAAGTTATCATTATAAATTTCTGAGGAAAGTAAATATGGAAGGGGGCTTCAAGAAAGTAAAAAAGGAAAGAGAATACAAAGAGCTAAATTTAAGTCTTGAAGTCATCTATCTCACAATTGAGAGAGAGAGGGGAAATTGCATAGCATGTATTAAAAAATTTATCTCATAAAAACCCAGTTTGAAATACATAGAGTTTTATTAATCCCTTTGAACGCATGCTGTAAATTGCATATGGTTATTGAACTGTGGCCAGGTTTGAAAGCCCTAGCATAATGTGCCATTGCTGCTCTTCCCGTTGAGAGGTGGATTCTATTCCTCTACCTCTGAATCTCGCCTTGGGTCTTGCTTGACCAATGGAATGTGGCAGAAATGATGCTGTGCAACTTCTGAGCCAGTTGAGAGAGCTTGCATTCTCTTATAATGCAGAAATCACGTGTCGAAACGTAGCCTGATCTAGTCTCCTTGAGGATAAAAGACAGCTGGAGAGAGGCCAAGACATTCTAGGTGTTACACCCGAACCCAACCCCACCAATGCCTCAGCTGGATGCAGTGGCATGAAGCAACACAGGTGAAAACAGCACAGGAATCACCCAAAGATTTGTGAGAAATTACAAATCATTGCTGTTTTAAGCTACTGAGTCTTGGGGTAGTTTCTTACACAGCAATGCGTAACTGGCACACTGGGCAAAACAGGCTCTTTTTATTGTTCATTTCACCTATTTTCAGATTTGCATGTGTCATATTCACAAGTACATGGTTTGAGTTTGATGAATAATGCAATGTTTTATAAGGTTTTCTAGAGTAGTTGAAATTAGTAGAAATATCAACAATTATTTACTCCTTTTGTGTGTAAAGGTATATTACAATATTATTCAGCTTAAGAGTCAACTAAATATTCTAGTAGAAGGAAAGCAATATTTGGAGACAAAAAAATCAATTTAAAGCAACAATTTGAGAAGAATTTACAAGCTGGGTGATTTTGACCAAGTTATTTCATCTCTCTAGATCTCTATTTCCTTCTTTGATTAAAAAGAATTTTAAGACAGATAATTCCCAAGTTTGTACACATATATATTTGTTGTTGTTGTTTTTGTTTATTTGTCTATTTCTATCTTATAGTTCAATAAGTTCTTTGGAATTCATTGCCAAGATTTCATTTCCTTTATTTATC